GGGTCCAGATGGTCTACCCTCTGAGTTATATAAAACTTTTAGTGATATACTCTCACCTTACCTTCTTGAGACATTTAAGGAGGCATTAAAGAGCGGATTACCACCAACGTTCAATGAAGCAGTCATCACTGTTATTCCAAAAAAAGGTAAAAACACAGAGGAGGTGGAAGGATTTAGACCAATTTCTCTCCTTAACGTAGATCAGAAAATTCTGTCAAAAACACTCGCCAATAGATCAGCTAAATTAATCAGTGGTCTAATTCATACTGACCAGAATGGATTTATTCCTGGATTTATACAAAGCGCCTTTTTAATATAATGCATCACTCCAAAGCTGCTCAAGAAAATCTGGTAATAATCTCACTCGATGCAGAAAAAGCATTCGATCGAGTAGAATGGCATTATCTATTTGCAGTATTAGAAAAATTTGACATGGGAGATAACTTTATAAATTTGATAAAGATTTTATATAAATGCCCTACAGCTCAGGTATTAAATAATAACACTTTGTCTGGTCCCTTTAATCTTCAAAGGGGGACCAGACAAGGATGCCCTCTATCTCCCCTGTTATTTGCATTGTCTATAGAACCCCTTGCTCAACATTTTCGTTCTGATCCAACTATACATGGTTTTAATACTTTAGAAACAGTTAATAAAATATCTCTATACGCAGACGACATTTTACTATACATTACAAAACCCCATATTACTATACCAAACGTTTTGAACACTATTCAATTCTTTGGCACATTTTAAGGGTTCAAAATCAATTTCGATAAAAGCGAATTAATGCCCATTGGACTAAAAGATCTGTCCTCAATACATTCCTCTCCATTTAAAGTTTCAATGGAAAAATTTACTTATCTTGGAATTGTATTTACATATAAATATTCAGCACTCATTAGTGCCAACTACACCCCCCTAATTTCCAAACTGCAAGCAAATATACAATTTTGGAAGACACTCCCAATATATTTGTATGGTAGAATAAATGCAATAAAAATGATATTCTTACCACAGATACTTTACTTATTTCAAAATATTCCAATCTTTCTACCTAAATCCTTTTTTAAACAATTAGACTCGACCATTCTTCCGTTCTTGTGGGGATATAAAAATCATAGATTTAAAAAGGCACATCTTTGTAAGTCTAAACAGGAGGAAGGTCTGGCACTTCCAGACTTTCGCCTTTATTACTGGGCTTCCTTCTTAAGTCTAATTTCAATATGCTTGGATAACCATGAAGCCCCACCAATATGGCTCCAACTAATGTATGATCAGTGTCATCCATATAATCTAGGGGCAGTAATTCTCTCACCTGTAACTTTAGAAGGTTCGATTTTTAACAGCAGTATCTTAATTCGAAATATGCATCGCATTTGGAAACAGATGAAACACCATTTTAAGATAAAGTCAATTTCTCTTTTAACTCCCATTGCAAAGAATCCATCATTTATTCCGTCTACATTAGATGGGACTTTTACGCAATGGAAGGAAATGGGTGCACATACTGTAGGAGATCTTTTCGCAGATGGAAATCTAGCTTCATTTAACCAATTACAGCAGAAATTTAAACTCCCTCAGAATAATTTTTTCAGATTTTTACAGATAAGGAACTACATACATGCCCATACGTCTTCATTGAATAGTACATCCCCTTCCATCCTTGACAAATGCCTAGATTGGTGTAAAGGTAGTAAAAAACCATTATCAATAATTAATGAACAACTACTATCTGTTACTTCCCCCTCTACAAAATGTTTTAAGGAAGAGTGGGAGAAAGAATTGGGAGTGGAAATTTCAGAAGAAATGTGGCAATCAGGTTTGGAGGATATTAATAAACAATCTATTAATTCTAGACACTGTCTTATTCAATTTAAAATAATTCAAAGGTTACATTATTCAAAGAAAAAACTACATAGAATTTTCCAAAATATTTCACCTCTTTGTGACAAATGTAATTCATCAGATGCGGATCTATCGCACAGTTTTATTTTTTGTTCTAAGATACAGAATTATTGGAATGGAATTTTTGATGTACTTTCCGAAGTGTTGAAGTTGCAATTCTGTAATTCTGGGATTCTCTGAACAAACACATTTGTTGTCAAATACACAACATAAAATGCTCTCATACTGCTTAACTACTGCCAAGAAGCTACTGTTGCTGTTTTGGAAAAAAAGGAATCCCCTACATGTAAACTGTGGCTTGGAGAAATTGCCTCTATGTTACATTTGGAGCGAATTAGATACTGTTTGAAAAGAAAACTGGAACAATTTGACAAAATTTGGAATCCTTTTATCTGTTACCTTGAAAAAAACCTCTCATAATAATGCATCATTTCTGTAATGTTTTAACATGCTTTGTCATCATATTCTGTTTTTCAAACAGGTCTTTGTAACAAGTTTGCTTGTTATGTGGGTGGGTGATTTTTATTTTTATTTTATTTATTTAATTCTTAATTTTCTCCTTTTAAGTTTCCTTATTTGCTGTGCCTATGTTATATGTGGACAAAATATGTAAACAGAATTAATTTTGTCTTGAATCTGTGTCTTCATCAATAAAACCTATTTGACAAAAAAAAAAAAAGAAAGCTGGTAACATGGGTCTGGATCGTCACTTATTTTTAATGGACACTAACAAGCTGAATTTAACTGGTCTAACAGCTTTTTACAGATCACTGCTGAGAACATGGTCAAGATTTAAGGTTTCAAGAGAACTCAGAAGTATACGGGGCCTCTGGTCGAGAGAAGAACCACTCCTTTTTAATTCTGCTATAGATCTGGACATTTTTAAATCTGATTCTTTCAGAAAAGCTTTGTGGTCTGCAAAGATCACTAAAATTGGACATTTGGTTTCTGAAGGACATTGGATAAATGCTGAGGCCTTAGCCTTAAGATTGGGCATGAGATCAGTATGGGTGGCTGAGAGATTGTTGATTGAAATACGGGAGAATTCACCAGTGGACATTAGATTGACTTCAGAGAAGGACGCTTCTGTATTTTCAGAGTTGATTCTTTCAGCGGATACAAGAGAATGACAGGAGACAGAAGGAGGACTTCTCTTGTTTAGAAGACCTCAGCCAAGTCTTTTTGAAGATGCAGGGGAAAAAACTGTATACTCTTTGTGTAAAAGTAGTGCATTTCCACATGCTTGAAAGCCTGAAGGAATCAAAGTGGCAGACTCTTTTTGGACCAGATTCTTCCCCCAAAGATTGCTGGAGGACCCTGCACAAACCTTTCATAGAAACAAGGTCTGGAGACCTTCAGTGGAGGATAGTGCATGGTATAATAGCCACAAACAGACACAGAGCACACATTGATCCACAGGTGAGGGAGGGGTGTCCTTTTTGCAATGTGGAAGAAACAGTGTTTCACTTATTTTTAAATTGCTCTAGATTACAAATGTTCTTTTATCAACTGAATGGATACTGTCAAATGTTGGGAGAGGTTATTATGCACAGTCTTTTTATTTACGAGCCTAAATACAACAGGAACAAGATGCAAGTCCATGTTTTCCGTATTAAAATAGATTATGCGTATTATAAGTTGATTGATGATTTGGACACTTTTAAATGGTGAATTAATCAATGCCTTTGTGAAGTTGTTCAAAATGGTTGTTTGGAAATACTTGTTTGATTGTTGAATGATTGTGAGTTAACCAGCTCTTATATATATTTATTTTCCTTTTTTTTTTTTTTCTTTTTGATATTTTTCATTAATGTGTTAAAAAAGTGGTTGTAAATAAAGAGATTGTTAAAGTCAAAAGTCTCTCTCTCTCTCTCACACATTTTGGACATTTGACCCACTGGGGTGTTCGTAGGGTAACTTTTCCTCTGCTCTCGGCGATACTTGTCCCTGTGGTGTGAGTTTTCTTCACCACAGATTACCTGATAACCGTGCATTATGCGCATAGAGACTGTAACCGCGGCTGTTCTTTCGTGTCACAGCGCTTTTATTTTTAAAGTCAAGCACAGCCCTTTCTATTGAGTGGGTGAAGACGATGACCAATCATAGGAGTGTAAGAACTCACCTGACAGCTCAAAAAAAGTAAGCGGGATAATATTTACATTATTTTAATTGATACAAATGCTCATGTTGTTCTTTGTATGTTTGGAGTTTTGTCTTAAACATTCACAAAGAGTGTTTTCTTTGAGCAGGTAAAATTATATAGGTACAGTTCATATATCTGACTGCTTGTATTAATGAACAAAATTGTATAACAAATAATATATAAATATATATATATATATATATATATATATATATATATATATATATATATATATATATGTATATGTATATATATATATATATATATATATACCCAATGAGCCACTGTGTCACCCACAATAACCTTCATTTGTATAGACTTTTTTTTTGAGTATTACTGTAAATAGAAAAAAAACAAAAAAGACTTTTTGAGTCTCTGTGTGTGTGTGTGTGTGTGTGTGTGTGTGTGTGTGTGTGTGTGTGTGTGTGTGTGTGTGTGCGTGTCTGTCTGTGCACACTAAAAAATGCTGGGTTCTTGTAAACCAACACTGAGTCAACATTGAACAAACCAAACAATGGGTACATTTCTCAAATTAAATTTAAATACAATTTTAAGCCAATGATTGTTGAAGTAAATATGCCATAAATTCTAGATATACAATATATATGTAGGGCACATATCAGTATATTGATAAGCCTCTTTACTTGAATATTGTTAAACTGAATACATGAAGCCAATAATATTTTTGCTTAAATATCCATAGCATCAATACCAAAAAGTGGTTTATCAGTAGGTCAGATGTGTCTGTTACTATAGCAACCTCCCCAGCACATTAAGTTTGCACAAGCCTCAGAGCTCTCTTGTGACTGGCCTGTAAAGCGCATTCATATTGCAATAATGGAAAAAAAAATCTACAGATGTGCTTTCTACCTAACATTGATCTATTCAAATAAACAAAAGGTCATCTTGCCGCCATTTAAAATGTGGCCACAAAAGCTCATTCACTCACCTCTGACCGAGCTGTTGGCAGACCAGGGTGGGATGACATTTCTCCTCTGGTAGAACAGGATATAAGCCCCTCGTGTGCACAGTTCCTCCTCTGGCACAATCTCCACACTGCTGTCATCATAACTGTACCAGTGGCCGTCCACGGAGTTCCTGCAATAGGCTGTTTTGCACAGATCAACTGAGTGGTCTGTTGACTTGCTATTGATTTAAACTTTGTTCATTTTTTATTGTTCATTTTTTATTTATTTGGAGCTGACAGTTTCTTTTAGTTTCTAGGTAACAATCATGAAAATTATCATAAACCAAGAGTTTTTAAAGCATGGACAAGAAACCTTAAACTAGACATCTTTGTCTCCTTATATCTAATATTTTCAATAGTATTTGGATGCAGCCTTGATAATGTAAGCTGAGACTGCATATGTCAATGATGCAATGTCAGACACAATGCACTCAATGAAGCTAGTGTGGGGTAAGGTTAGGGGTGATATTAGGTAAGCACATTAAAAGCATTGGATGCAGCTCAGATCGCACTGCACCAGGTCTGCATCCAGACCCCTCTCAAAATTTTTGACTTAAGTCTAAAGACTTAAGAAACAAAAAATGTGTAAGCTCATCAGGCTTTTTTTTTTAATTAGCATTTTAACCAGGTTCGTTTATGTTCAGTGATTTCACTATGATCAGTGACAACAAAAATTTAACTGAAATGACTTATTTTCAGAAAAAATCCCTTAAATCACATCTAATTATAATTTTCCTACACATCCAATGATATGAATAGCAATACTGCATTCACTTCTCCTGTTTCATCAGGTGGTCTAAGCTCAGGTAGGTTTTGAGAGCTCCCCCAAATTCGTTTGCTCAGCCTATTCCCTGATTATTAGAGGTTGCCATGGTGGAAAGAACCATCAACTATACCAGCATATGGAACAGTTTGGTTTATTCAACTTAGTTATACCGCATGTCTTTGGACTGGGTGGAAACAGGAGTACCCAGGGTAAACCCACGCAAACACGGAGAGAACATGTAAACTCCACACAGAAACACCAATTGGCCAAGCCAGGACTCGAACCATTCATTCATTCATTTTCGTTTTGGCTTTGTCCCTTTAATAATCTGGGGTCGCCACAGTGGAATGAACTGCCAACTCACACATATTTTATGCAGCGGATGCCCTTCCAGCCGCAACCCATCACTGGGAAACATCCGTACACACTTATTCACACACATACACTACAGAAAATTTAGCCTACCCAATTCACCGATACCACGTCTTTTGACTTTGGGGGAAAGCGAAGAACTCGGAGGAAACCCACGCCAACATGGGGAGGGACTTGAACCAGCGATGTTCTTTATATGAGGCAACAGTGCAAGCCATTGAGCCGCCGTTCCGCCTTATCCTGGATTAAACTGCAGTCACACTAGAGGTTGATCATGCAAAATTTTGTCGTACGGCGCTGCGAAAAGGGGTGGGATTTAACAAGATGATTAGACATTTAAAAAAGCAAGCGATTGGTCAATATTTTAAATTTCTTTCCAGAGAGGTCACGTTTTGATCATCGATTGATATCACAAAGTCAAGTGATGCAATTTTGCAGGTCAAAATTTACCAAGCTTGAACTTTGCAATGCAGAGAAGTGCGAAACTTGTCGCACAAGCTTGCATTTTCGGTTATACGCATTCATGTACGTATGAATGGAAGTCTATGAGGAGAAAAGTCCTGTGTGACTGCAGCTTTAGTCTAGGAAGGAGGGGGAGGAGTAGGGGTGAATTGGAGGAGTCTTTAAGGCGAAGATGACTAAGGTAAAGAAATCTGGATATTTACAGTATGTGAGTTTAATTCGTCTGATTATCAAATGATATGTTAGCTAAAGCTAATGACCAGCCGTGGCCAATCATAAGGCCATGATCCTTTTGAAATTAGTTTATAAATAAACTTCACTTTGCTCATGCAAATAATGGTTGGTTTTAGGGGTTGGATATGATGCACACATTTAAAAAATCACAGACATTTTCTTATAAATGTTAAATTAGTTATGTTTCCTTAGCAGATTAGGCTATAAATTAGAGAAACAGTAAAAAAAAATATCTGTACTGTACATATTGTGAGCCTCTCATTCATACCTTAATTCCTTTGTATGAACTTTAATGGTAAATCATGTGCTTCCCAAATAATCAAAGCTCAACAATTAAAAGTTGGCAGGTAACATGTTCCACTACAGACAGAATGTGTATAGTGGACCATCAAAATAAAGTGGCACTATTTATATTTTGAGTGGTAAAATGCCTTGTTCAACAAAGCTAAGAAAAATGAATCTAAAATGCATGTGTAAACATTTCTGGGACAAAATTAGCGAGAGGGTTTTAAAGTTGTATATGGGTCAAGACCAAACATTGCCTACAGTCCCCAAAAACATAAAACCTAAAGCAACGATAATAGAAAAACTTTTAAATGAAAACAGCCCCTACATCATACTGACCTGTGTAATGGCCTCCATGCATGCCTCCGTGGTGGTTGCAAACTGCATACAAGTCATAAAGAAAGTCAGTTTCTCCATGCTTCCAAGTTGAAGGCAACGGGGCCAGATTCTTCATGCTTTGACTGCGTTTCACCACATGGGGGGTCATATCCAGAGCACTTACAGGAAAGCGAATGAGGGTGGAGAGCTTGTTTCGCCGTTTGCCCACCTGTCGAAAACGCTTCAGGTGCAGAATGAGGATGTCGGGCAGTGTCCATAAACTCATCTTCACCATTCCCTGCTGCATTTGCTTACAGTGGGGGCACTTCCATGCATCGTCTGGTGCCAGCTGCAAGGGGAATAATAACAACATTAATACACATTATTTTGATGGACTTTTCACACTTGGAATAGTTTACCCAGGGTTATTATACAGATGAACAATGTTATAGCTCTTCTTGCTTTGTGAAGTTAATAACTAATCTGGTTATTTATATGCTGACATTTCATCCTGTGCATTCCCAATCTCTGGATTAATGTCCTTATTTGCATATTTGATTAGTTGTAAGCATTTTACAGCCTGTTTACATATGACTCTAGTGTTGCACATATTCATAATATGCCAATTGATATTAGTTTATTTATTTATTTTTTTAATTTTTCTTTTTCTTTTCCTGGATCTGCTTTTCAAATTTAACAGGTACTGTAGGAATATACTGATGCACTTTCCACAGTTATTTATACTATTTCTACTGAAACACAGTTTATATAAAATATGCTGCGTTTACCTGTCCAAAGCATGTGAATACTGGTAGCTAAACTTCTTATAATGTTGTTGCATCATTTCACATGAGTTCATATTCATGCACTCAATGAAGATCTGCTATAAGGAGAAATAATCAATGATGCTGCATTATAACTACATTACTGTAAACATGCTCATGTTTTCCTGGGACAGTGTCAGTTTTTATTGCCTTGTCTCAAATAGAGCTGTTATAATAAAAAATATTTGCCGTGTTGGTCCCCATTTTTTAAATGCACAGATACTTATAAGTGAGTTGTCAATGCTACTTTGACTTAAAATGTCCCAATTGACACTCTAAACTAATGTTTAATGTGACGAGTTATCTAATCATCTTAAAAACATACAAAATTTATTTAGACCTTTGTTCAGGGCTGTGTTCATAAAACTTTCACGAAACCTTTATAATCAAGGCACAATGTGAATATGAATGGCATTTTATGCATGCGTATGACAACTGTCATCTAGTGTCATTATTTCAGTTGTCATTTTAAATGCAAAGCACCTTAATTTAAAAAGAAAAATGGAAAACACACCTGCAAGTTTTAAAAGAGAACAAGCCTCAGCCACTTAGGAAAAAGTAATGTTATTTTTTGGGGGTGTAACTCAATATTGTAAAGCATTTCTTTCAAAAGTAACTATTCCCAACACTGATCATAAGAGTAATCTTGACGCAATTAATCTTGACACAAAAGCCTCATGAGAATCGTGTTTATGACATTTTATGACACATTATGTTGTAATGGCAAGTTATCATGTAGTCATCTCAAACAAGGGTCACGTTTACACTGTCAGGTCCTGATGGCCAATTCCAATTTGTTCCCTATATCTGATTATTGTGCCTGTCCGTTTACACATTCTTTTAATTGTGATCCATATCCAATTCATGTGTTTACATTTGCCATACAATTTATGACGTTGCGCATGCATAAAGGTGGATTGTAGCATCTACACCACACTAGCCACCATGGAAGAAATTGCTTCGCTTTTAGCTCTGCAAAATGTGCGAAGTTTGCCCAACTTTAAAATTATTTTGAGGCGAAGGAGGAAAGAAAGGGCCCTCATTGCAGCTTGCGCCTATGGTTTATATATGGTGTACTCCACCATTCAGAGGAATTTGTGGGTATGAGAGATTTCGGGTCTGGTGGGAGCAAATTGTGGCCTGCTTTAATGAGGAGCAGTGGGTCAGAAGTTTTAGGATGAGCAAATCCTCTGTTTTGTGTCGGCGCCGTGTCGGCGTCTCCACAGACGCTCTGCCTTCTTGTTATAAAACCGTGGAGAACTGTAGATGTTCACATAGGTATCGCCTACGCTATTGTTGTCTATTGGAATGAAATGCGTCAATAGAGCCACCATTTTGGTACAGGGTAGTGCTTCTTGAATGAATGCGGGACCAAGGTGCAGTGGAGGTCTGGCCATTCAGAGCCAGAGATATATATACACACATATACATACATCTATGATCGGGAGTTTTCTCGCTGGTCAGTATACACATATATTTTTTAAATGACTAAAATATAATTTTACATCACTTTTATACATCGATGGATAAGTGACCGCACGGGCATTCTTGACAAAGAGTGTGTGTTTGTGTTCATGGAGATGTATTATCCTCCCTCCCTGTTAAATTTGATCTAATCCGTGTCTTGAAACACACCACTCTCCCACTTTCACTTGTTCTGAAGGAGGGAAAATGTGAATGTAATTTGTGAATGAATCTCCGTTATGAATGATTCGTTCACTTAGCCGACAATAATACAAGTTTCTAGCTTCGCAGCATCTTGTAGTCATATTTTTTTTACATTGTTTGCTGATTTTACAAAACAAAACATAAGCATAAGCCTGGTATTTAGTGTGAGTTGGTGTACTTTGCCGTATGGTCAGTGCAGTAAGTGACTATTATCATCAATACTTGTTGAGCACAAAAGTTCGTAACAAACTAAAACATAACAAATGAAATCTTACATATGAAATGTTGTGCCTTAATGCTTTGTTTTCCTTGTTTGCTTGTTACTACACCTGTACACAGCACTAAAGTCCGGTATCTTTATACTAGCTTTAGTGGGGCTGAATGACATTTGTCCTGGGAGCACTGTATAAATGTGGCGGTGCTATTGACGCATGTTCAAGGTCTGTATGCGATATTTAGTGTATATATTTTTGGTGGAGAACTACCACATGGTTAAAAGTTTAATGACGTACACATTGGAATGCCTTAATAAATCAAATCTGCCTGTTTACATGATAGTCGCATTGTCACATATCCAATTTCCATCAGATTTATTTCCACAAACAAAGCAGGCCTGAAACGTGTCATGACAGTCTTACGAACACCCCTTCAAGTCAAGTGTTTTTAAATTAAAATGAATTTAGTTACCATCTGGCTGAGCAAAATTTTCCAAGGTCTTATAAGTAATTGCTAAATAAATGCAAGGCTCTATTGATATTGATAATTAGAAATTATATTGATCTATGGGCGTCACGGTGGTGCAGTGGGTAGCACAATCGCCTCACAGCAAATAGATCGCTGGTTCGAGCCCCAGCTGGGTCAGTTGACATTTCTGTGTGGAGATTGCATGTTCTCTCTGTGTTCACGTGGGTTTCCTCCGGGTGCTCCGGTTTCCCCCACAGTCCAAGGATGTGGTACAGGTAAATGAGCTGAATTTTTCATATAGTGTGTTATTCGCTGTGTAAAACATATGCTGATTAAGTTGGTGGTTCGTTCCACTATGGCGACCCTTGATTAATAAAGGGACTAGCCGAAAAGAAAATGAATGAATATTGATCTATTGATAGTGATACCAGCATATCTTTGTCTAATAGAAAGCGTGGTGGTATTAAATAGCTTGAGTGCATATTCGTGAAAAAGCAAAAGTGATGCAAGTCTATGAGGGAGAGAGGGATGGATACATGCTGTGATTTGCACTTTAGGTATCTTTAGTGCAACAGGCATGTAGTTTAAGGATTACTGTATCACTGCATGTGATATACTCTCTCTTGCACTAACAGTGCTCTTTCCTCTTGCTCATTTTTTTTTTTTTTTTGCCTCAATGATTTCCAGGGTATTTTATGTCATTTGCAGGCATCAAGGGAGCCGCTGTGAACATACAAGAGACTCCCGTAGCTTCCGGGAGAGGTGGAATGTCTGACATGAGCATGTTCTTAGTGACAGCACATCTGATTTGGTCTGTTTAGATGTCTGGTTAATGATGCATACATTATTCAGTCAGGCTTTACCAGGGTACAGATGGCAGTGTTCTGACTTTCTCAAATTAATCCCTTTAACAAACATGGCAACATCTGCTTTAATTGAATGGAACCTGCCAAATGTGAACACACCCTTATGCATTACTAATGTATGTCATAGAAAAATCAGTTAGTTTCCTTAATTACTCAGATACTCTCATTAAAATAACAAATAAAAAAAAAATAGCATCTGTATAACATCAAATAAGCTTCTTTTTTTTTCTGGGGATTGGTCAAATTGCAGAAAGAATGTTTTGATTCTTCACGGTTAACAAATTGGTGTCATTATCTGAACCTGCTTTGTCTCAGTGTGGTGCAGTAGAACATTTACGCCCAGGCCAGAAATACACTGCTGTGGCAGACTGGATTTAAGTGCACATGCAGAGAGGAAAATAACAACAACAACAACAACAACAACATCACAACATTTAAATATTTACAGATATTTTGTACCATCAAGAATTTTATTACAGGAAAAAAGCAACAATTTAATTCCAGCAGGAAAGTTACCATTCAATGCACATCATCTTAAAAGCCCCTTTGGCACCAGAACTGAAGTCCTTGTTTTGCTTCAGTAATGACTAAAGGTTTTTTTTTTTAGGATCGATGATCATTTGTAAAGCCAGTCATAATAAGGGAACTCACTGCTTCACGGGGTATGATTTATCAAGTGGTGCTTGTCAAGAATAGGCAGAGTGTGTATAGACAAGAATGAATTCAGAGTGTCTTTTCAAAGAGATTCAGAAGATGTTGGACGTGAGAGACAAAGACGGTAGGAGGGAGACATTTGCTCCTCGAGTGGGTTTTAAATCAGCCTGAATAATCTTGAATATTCAATAGCGACCAGTCCTGCTAATCAAAATGTCTACCGCCATGACGTGCAAGTACAGATCCCGCAGAGAACATTTTCTCCTGAATTTACTGAACGAACGCTAACATTTTCTTTTCAACATTTGCCCTCCACAAATAATTCTGTTTGGATTATTTGGATTGGGCAATAGTGCATATTATATTGTGCATCTTTTTCTTTGCTTATGAAACGATATATGAAGCACAGCATGCTCACCTTTATGTCAAATAATTAATCTCAATTACATACAGTACATGTTGCAGAAAATTAACTCAAAAGCTCCTATTATACTAACAACATAATTGATTCAAATTCTGAAGATCCTAAATGCATAAATGGTCTGTTAGAATATGGATTTCTATAATTGGTTGGCTCTTGTGTTTGATTGTAGAGCTCTCTACATCACAGGAGATTTCAAAGTAATCACTGTTTTCAAGTATTTTTTAGTCCACATTATTAGGAGCTGATTTAAGTTCTTTCTTTTCATCAAAACTCATTTCATAGTTAAACATTTTCCTCTGAGACAGTAAACAGATGATGTGGGCAACAGGCCATGTCTGTGTTTGCAGTGGCACTAAATTCATAAGTCTAGAATAGAACACGAAACATCACATCTTCTGTAAAAAAAAAAACAATAATAATAATGTTGTCTGACATTTTTTAGCTCTGGTTGAAAAGAGTTTCACTAATAAGTCATACTAATGGTATTTTAATGGTATTTTAAAATAAAATCTGAAAACCTTTTAGTGGTGCATTAAGACAACAACAGCTTCATAAGGTCTTTTAAAAGTTTTTTTTTTCACTTATTGTATCTGTGTAAATTACAAAAATGTTAATTTGTGAGAACATGTCATGTGTATATGTTTCAAATCATTTGTTCAGTCTATGTGTATATGTGGGTACTTTATAAAAACAACAATGATAGACTAATTGTTTGTGTATAGAAGAATGTGTTGAGATTTTACTAGCATTAGTTTATGTATTTACTAAAAAGCATGAACAAATAATGAACAGAATATGAATTACAGTATTTAGTCACCTTGGCTAATGATTAATATAAATGAAAAGTTGTTCATTGTCAGTTCATGTTAACTCACAGTGCATTAACAAATGTTACATGCAAACTGGATTATAACAATCTATTAGAGAATAGTGGGCTATAATAAATGAATGATGAACAATTGTTGTTCTTAGTTCATGTTAGTAAATGCATTAACTAATAAACCCGTATTATAATGTATAACCAATACTTACGTAGCCACTAAAGGGACGTGGACATGAGAAAAGTTGCATCCCCCACAAAACTTTTGCATTCCTTTGCGATGATGTTAGCTTTGCTTTCCCTTTCAAAACTTTTGAAAAATATGTTGTCTCACAAACACTTCTTGTTCACTTAACTAAGTATGAATGAAATGTACTAAGTATTAATGAAAATGGATTAAAAATGTAAATATTTTTTTACCCCCGCCATAAAATGTTAGAAACACTTTAAATACTAGTGTTACTGTAGATGTGATGATATTTCACTGCACCTGAAAATAGTCCTTAGCCCAAGACCTACACTTGCACTACCAGTTATATCTAAATAATATCATTAAGTTTAGCAGGTTAGGTAATAATATTACTTTTCTTAGGAAAAAGTAAAGTAATGCATTACCTTAAAAAAATGAAGTAATAATATTTGAGGTCCCTTTTAAAAAAAATGTAATGTCAGTTACTTTTTAGTTTAATTAATTGTCTTTTAAACCATAAATTGCTGAATTAAAATAAACGTTGAACCCCACACACAATGAAAAAATTTTCTCTCTACAGAAATAAACAAAAAAAACAAGATGGCATTCTGCGCTAAAAGTGTTCTCATTATTCCTAATGCATGGAAGAAGAGTAAAAGGTAATTGCCTTAATGCTTACTTTATTATATTATATTTATTATAAGGCAAAAAGTACAAAAGCAGCAAACACACTGCTTTACACTTTCATTGATCTGAATATACGGCATGTAGAGCTCTGGGCTCAGGACATTCTCAGAAGATAACATTATCCTCAATTATTATGTGTTTTTAAAAGTAAATAAAGGTTATACAGTGTGCTGTTAATTGCAAACCTTCTCTATTAGAAAAAAGGAAGAAAACAGGTAAGAAAAAGTTATGTAAAAGTAACTTAAAAGTAATATAACGCATTACTTACATAAAAAGTAACCAAGTAATGCAACTAGTTACCTTTTTGGGGAGTATCTGAATATTGTAATACATTACTTTCAAAAGTAACTTTCCCCAAGATCATTGTGGCAACTGCATTCCTTGATTATTACACCAGAATGAGAAAACAGCCATATCGGCCTAGAAAATAGCAACTTTTCAACTAGGTACACAATGTAACAACAGAAGTGTCAAGCTTTAAATTGAAAAATGACCAAAAATGTTTGAGCGGGATGCTAATGGTCTAGTCTGATTCAATTAACTATGCTTAGCTAAGCTAAAAGCTATCCCACCAGACCTGGATATTGGCTGAATGGATTCAAAAATGATAAAACTTGCGACTTGTAAAATGAGCCTATTTTCACAAATAGTGGAGTGTTACTTCAACTGATCAGATCATAATCCCAGGAGTCTTCTTTAATTTTTTTGAGCAGTGTATATTTTTGATCAAAGAAATTCAGCCTTTGTGAGGATAGATAAATAAACAGGGAAAGTAACTGGATGAAAGAATACCTGCTCCTCTTTGGTGTAGAGCTGAAAACAGTCATCCAGTGTGCAGCTGTGCTGTTGTACATGATTCTGCTGCTGGATTCTCACACTCTCTGCATCTTCAATCACCTCCTCTTGAATATTGCCAAAGAGGCTAAAACAGATATGAATAGTAAATTACAAATTATGTTGCACTCTTACTAATACTAGGGCATTTGGCTCTTACTGTGATCTTAAATTAAACGAATGTCTAAAAAATAAGAAGATTTATGCTGCTGCATGTATCTCACCATTCTTTAATTTTGTTGTCCCATTCAATTATGAGCTTCACATGCAAAGGACCACCTGGACCACATAGCTTGAGGGCTCTGGAAGAGGAAAAATCAATTCAAATGTGAGTTTGGAATTTAGCCACCAGGGGGCAGAAAATAATCAGTGTAGTGAATTCAGAGAAGGAGCGAGCATTGCAAGACAACCTCCCTGCTGAATGTTATAGAAAATGCAGTGACATTCCTTATTTATTTTTTCCTGTAGTAAATTAAAGGGTGTGGTTAGCTAATAGTAAATTAGTTATTAAGTGGTTATTCAGTTATTTATACAGTATATATATATATATATATATATATATATATATATATATATATATATATATATATATATATATATATATATTACTGTATTGCTTTTGTGTTTGCATTGTAGTCTTGCACAAATTCTAAATCTCTGTAGTCAACAATGTATTTATTTATTGGCATCGCTTTTTTATTTTTAACATATTTACTGTGTAGAATATATATATATATATATATATATATATATATATATATATAATTGAAGCCTCTTTTTTTGCATTTGAAACAACTGAGATAGGACTAGAATGGTTATATGCAATTGGAGCATGACCAGACTCAGATTTATCATCACAAATCAAGACAGCACAAAGGAATAGAGAAAAGAAGAAACAAAAGTGATTCAGAACAATAGTCAGTTCATTTATCCTTAAACCTGCGTTTTTAATAATATTTTATTTTCATCTCTCATGTTAAATAATCGTACAATTCATCTGTAGGTCTCACTATCATTACAGGTATCCAGACTAAAAAAATAGTCACTCAAATATGGCGAATAAACAAATAGCAATAATCACCTGGCTAAATAACTGCACGAGAAAAAAATAGCATTCAGAGCTTCAGCCCTCACAATCCACCCTGTGCAATTCTGCAAACAATCGATCAAATATGACAGAGGGAGAAGCTGCGGCAGAAAGCAGTGCAGGGTAATTTGAAGATGTGACTGGAGCATGGCTGAGTTTTTCTGAGAGCCGGGCTAAAGCCAGATTAATTCTGACACACAGTCCGTCTGCGTTAATTGCAATTGTTTCTGAGAGGATTTAAAAGCAGGGAACAATAATTCAGAGACGTGAGGGGAATTCAGTTGGATTCATCAACTCTAGTCTGTTGAGAAGAAAGCTCAGACACCGACATGCAGTACTGTGCGAAAAGTTTTAGGCCAATAAAGCTGACGGTGGTTTAAGAGATTTGCACAGTACTGAGTATATTTGTCCATATATTAGTTTCTGTATCGTAGATCTTCTGTATGCAGTTGGAGGCCTAAAGAATTGATCCATGGAAGCAACAGAAGGGAACAGCTGAATGTGAGCATTTTGATTTGTTTTAGTTGTCATAGTCAGTGGTGTAAAGTAACAAATTACAAATACTCAAATTACTGTAATTGAGTAGTTTTCTCAGAAATTTTTATTTACTCAATAGTGTGTACTTTTACTTTCCCTTGAGTACATTTTTAGTGCAGTATCGGTCCTTTTACTCCACTATAGATATTTACATTAGATGTCGCCTACCCTGTTGTTGTCTATTGGAAGGAATTTATCAATAGAGATGCCATTTTGGTATAGGGTACCAAAATCAAATTGAAATCAATGCGGGACCATGTGCAGTGGAGGTCTGGTCATCCAGAGCCAGAGATATACTCACATATACATATATCTATAATCGGATGTTTTCCAGTGGTCATTATGCAAATTTTTATTAAATTTCGAAATTTATAATTTTACATCACTTTTATAAATCAATGGATAAGTGACCGCACAGAAATTGCTGATAAAAAGCATGTTTGTGTGCATGGAGATGTATTATCCTCCCTCCCTGTAATATTTGATCTAATCTGTGTCCTGTAACACGTCCTCTCTCCTGCTTTCACTTCTAATTCTAACGAAATGAGTGATTTATTTGTGAATGAATCTCCGTTATGAACCACTCGTTCACTTAACCGACTATAATACAAGTTTCTAGCACTGGAGCATCTTGTTGTCATATTTCATTTACATTGTTAGCTGATTTTATTCAACAAAACTAGCATGAGCCTAGAATTTAGTGCAAGTTTGCCTTATGGTGAATGCAGTAAGTGAATGTATTAAGATCAATAAAGTTACTTGCTTAGCACAAAGGTTCATAACATACAAAAAAAAAAAAAAAAAAAAAAACGAAATCTTACCTATGAAATGTTCTGCCTTTGTGGTTTGTTTTCTTTGTTTGATCATTATTACACCCGTACACAGTCACATTAGCTTTGGTCTTGACTAAGTGCGGTTGAATGACATTTGTGCTGGGAGCACTGTACAAATGTGGCGGCGCTATTGACACATGCTCAGGGTCTGTATGAGATATCTAGTGTTTGTTACTCCACTACTTTCCTTCATCCTGCAGCCACTACTTTATTTTTCCTGTCTATGGGGATTAGAAAATTCAGTTCTGTGATTTCAGTCCAATCAAATTGCACTTAGAAAGAACTATCTCAAGTCACGCGCTACTTACAAATGCAATATTTATTACTGTTTGGAAGCATTAAAAGTGTCCAAGAAGACATCTAAAATCTTTACACACAAAGACCCAGAGTCTGTTTAGACTGTATGCCACTGATGAGAAGATGACAGATGTTTACTGTAGAATGTCATGATTTTGCCAAGTATGATGTGATCATGGATTAACACCTATGTTGATACTGTAACAATTTTCGTTCAAAAATGTAATCCATACGTTATCAACATATCAACAGACCAATCCATATGTTATCAACAGATGTTAATCCAGGAACATGTCCTATTTGGTTAAATGAGACCAAAATTGCCTTAACAATAACTAAATACACTACAGAGTGTTACGTTTACACACACATCCACAAACTACTTATGAACACATCAGCTACTCGCGTTAATTTTTACTCATACTATAATATTTACAACATATACTTTTACTCTACTTGCAAGTAATGGTACTTTTATTTAAGTATGATTTTTCAGTACTCTTTTGACCACTTCTCTGAGTGTCATTTGATCTTATGTCACATTGAGCTTGTTCTTGTGCCACATTGGGTGCATTTAAGCTGTAAAATGTAAATATCAAGGCATGTCCTGCAGAATGATGAATCAACTAGTCAGGGGCTACATCAGCCATTATAAAGCTCTCCTCAGGGAAAAGCGAGGAGTATTAAGAAAAGTGACTTTACCTGTGAAACGCCAGCAAGCAGGGACCATACAAAAGTATCTTTATTTATTTATTTATTTATGCTTCTGGTGATTTTTCTGAGATTTTTGTTTTTTGTTCCAATTATCTCCACTGTTAATAACAGTAACTACTGTTACAAACGGCAAACCACTTAGTAGGCAATGCAATCTAAATAATCTGTGCAATTTTGTCTACACTTATCCAACAATTTGCATTCTTTTAAAATTGATACAGAACGGTCAGTCTGCTGTTAACAAAGCAGACTTCATTTTAACTCTCAGTGCCCATTCTAATCTCAATCCTCTGCCCCTAACTGGGACTTGGATTAAACCACAGGACATGGCTATACCTACAGCCCTATCCACAAATAACGTCTCTAACCACTGGAAACTTAATCATGTATCACAACATGTTAACAGTTCTTTTGACTGTTATGCTTACCCACTAGGCTTGAGTGGTAAAACTGTAATATGGTATACCACGAGATCTAAAAATAGCAATAGTATCAGTTTCAATACCGTTTTACCCTCATAAAACAATGCACTTATATAGGGTAACAAGTATTAAATATAAAATATAGTTTATTTATTGACTAAAATTGCGTATGTGTAGTTGTCATCAGTGGACAGCGTGAAGGAGAAAGAAAGAAGTGTGGAAAGTTAGTAGTGGTCTAGCAGTATTTTGGATTTTGACCAAACAAGAAGGGAAAGGCGGTAAATTGGGATGAGGAAATTTGCAAATTGTGCAACAAAAAGGTGACCGCGAGAGATGAAAATACCTTGAACCTAATACGCATATACAAAATCACTATCCACTCACTGCTGCGAGAATAGACTCGAATTCACTCAGGAGTTTTAACACCTCCCAATGCAGGACCAACAACATCTAGGTCCACGGCTAGTACACAGCCAACGATAATGGATGAAAAGAATAAGTACAAAAGGGACCATGTCCATTGGAAAGTCTGTACTGATGCAGTGACAAAATACTAGAAGAGGAGAAAAATGGTCTCGTTTCACAGTAGAAAAAAAAAGTTCTTTAAGGATATGGTAAAGGTCCTAGATGCCCAGTTCAAGCTGCCTGGATGGAAAAGAGGTAATGTTCAAGTGCTGCTCTTCTTTGTTATTAAACATTGTTCAGGCGGTGTGATTTAATTGAAATGATTTGTGTGCGCATCTCTGCGTGTAAACTTGTCTGGATGTTTATGTTATTTTAATTCTGGTTGACTGTTGTAATAGAAGTTATAATATATTATTTATAATATATAATTTGTTATTGTGTTTGGTATTCAGTTTCTGAATGGTTTAGGCACAAGCCTAGAGTTTGGTGACTCTGTTTGAGCCTTACGTCATATTTGTTTTTTTATTATTCGGAGTAATACCGTATACCGAGGTAAAATAGGGAGGAGGATTGGCGGTATCAAAATTTGGAGACCGCCCAAGCCTATTACCCACCCTATAAAAATCACTTTTGTAAACATTTTTCATTCTCCAGGACAACTAGAAAGCTTCTTGGAGGAGGTAAAAAAGGATGGTACTTTTCTAGTGGTGCATGGAGACTTCAGAATCCACCTAGATAAACATTATGCAACTGATTTCTACTCTGCCTGACTTTTTTTTTTCTTTTTTTGTAGAGTGTGCCTGCTTCAGCTACTCACAAATCTAGTAACCAACTGGACCTCATCTACCCCTGGTTCTGCTCCACTGACTATTTGCTAGCAACCCCCTTGCACTCATCAGACCACTTCCTCCTCACCCTTAACCAAAATCTAAATCCTGATACATCTGATTCTCCTCCACACATCACCTTCTGTCACCACCTACGCTCACTCTTACCTTTCTCAAATG